TTGTTTATGTAAGAAGTAAGGGAATAAAGGGGGAATGTGAATAAGTTAAAATCTGAATTAAAATCCGAATAGGAATCTTTCGATCCATCAAGTCGCATACATTCCTGTTCAACCTCGTCAGTGTGACGGTTGCAGCAAAAATAACATGCAATGTGTATAATTTATCATTTTGGTGTGTATTTTTTAGGTTTTTATCAATGCCAAAATATGTGGAGCATTATGGTGCCGAATGTATGGACATATTTTCAACGGATGCCGATGGTGGCGTTTCTTCTGTGGATGTAGTTAAAAAGCGTACGGTTCGGGGACCACTTTGCTTGGCCTATTGGAAACTGTTGTTCCTGGATATGTTCATGCCACGAGGATATCCACAGAGTGTTTCACCGGATTATTTGCAATATCAGATCTGGGATACGGTACAGGCATTTGCAAGTTCAATGAGCTGGGCCCTCGCCACCGAAGCTGTTTTACGTGGCGCCGGTGTGGGAAATGAGGTCATTTTAAGGTTATTGTTTCTTTTTTTGCTGTATGTTTTTGCGAAAACTTTTCAGGATTTATGTGCTCCGTTACGCGTTGCTTGGACGATGAATCCATCTGCTCTGGTTGCAGAGTTACGTCAAATTTCACGTGTTCGTACGCGGAGAGAAAGGGGACTTTTTTGCGTGCACTTGCCCAATTATATTCCCGGGGATCAATTTTTGAAAATTTTGGTAGTGTAGCTACTCTGGTTGCAGATTTACGTCACATTTCACGTGTTCGTGCGTAAAGAAAAAGGGGAGCTTTTTTTGCGTGCATCTGCACAGTTACACTTCCGAGGACTAATTTTTGAAAATTTTGGTAGGAGCTGCTCTGGTTGCAGAGTTACGTCAAATTTCACGCTTTCGTACATAAGAAGAAAAGCGAGCTTTTTTGCGTGCACGTTCCCAAACATGCATTTTTCGAGGATCAATTTTTGAAAATTTTGATTGTGTAGCTGCTCTGGTTGCAGAGTTACGTCAAATTCCAAGGTGTAAAGACAGACGAGGCTTGGATGACACTAATACTATCGAGACACTGGGCAAACCAAACAGCAAATTTTTCGAAAAAAACAGAAAAAAAAACAACAAAAGTTTAACGATACAATCAGAGTTTTGAGCGAATGGATGACAAAAAACAAGTAGCATCACTGCTGCAAACGAAGAACACGTTGAAACATACAGTACTGGAAACTACAACAAAATCACACACTTTTATACTCATTACATC